ATTTATGTATTTTTTTAAATACCAGGCCTTTATTTCCTGTTTCTTGATTTGATATTTATCCCTAGACCTTCAATCTTAAAATGTACCAATGCTCTGCAGAGGAAGTTTGACATGTTTAAAACCATGATAATATAAATAACAAAGTTATTAAAAAATAATAATAATAATTTTAATATTTATTGTGATAATGACCAGGGGGCTGTTTCATAAAACAAGTTTACCAAATAAGCCAGGCTTATTTCAGTTAGTCTGACTTATTGTCACTTGATTTGGTTTCATAAAGCAAATTTACCATGGCTCAAGCTCAGTCACTCTGGCAACTTCTGCTGGGAAACTAACCTGGTCAGGAGCAGGCTAACTGTCAGGCTAAGCGGAGTTCCTCTAACACTGACCAATAGGACTGCATTGATATTACCGCTAACTCTCTCACATACAATTATTTGACTTTATCAGTCCCAAAAAAAAAGTATACAGAAAATGCAACTTAAATAAATAAAATAAATAAAAATATAGGCTACAACCGACTGTATTTAATGTATTGTGCCCGAGATTTAAAGCATTAAAATCACTAAATTAAAAATGAAGATAAATAATAGAAAACAAACTATATTTTAACTGAAAAGAGGATTACTTACTCTAGTAATTAGGGCTGTATTAGCTAGCTTACATTTGATTTACAGTTACTGCACTTAATACACTTATGTAGGTTTAAAATTCTGCATGTCACATTTAATGTCCAACAACAAATATTTGAGCAAAATGTATATTTAACTCAAAATTATTGCGTTCCGTCTGTTTAGCGCACATGCGCGCAGCAGCGATCGTTCACTAGCATAAGCCTCACCCACTCCTGACAGCAAAATGGATATATTTGCATGACTTTCTAACATTTACAGATGAAGAAAATAAAAAAAATATTTCACCTAGTTACCAAGTTAACATTTCTCATTTTCCTTTAACTTGATGTAAAACTATAAAACTATAGATGTTAAGAAAAATGACACGCTATAAAATTACTAAAACATTTGCTAAATTAAAATGAAAGAGAAATATAAAAATAAAAATGCACTAATTATAAAATATTA